GACATTCTGAGCTTCAAAACATGGGAGGATATTATAATTAATATGTAACTCTTTAAATGTATACAGTGAAAAATTAAGAATCTTGCATAAAATTCAGAAGACAAGATAGCATCTTCTGCTCCTAATTCTGTCTTCATGGACAGTTAAATGAGTTTTCCCTCATTTCCAACAGCTTTTCCTCACTACTTAAACTACAAATTTTGTACTGGCAGATACTGTGTATCTTTAAAGACCTAATTGAAAGAGAATGAAATCTTGTTTGGGAGATGCAGAGGCAGTATGGTGAACATGGATGAAAACTGTGAATAAAAATAGTGCCATCAGTGGGATGTTCTATGTCACCTACACTTGAACTTCTAGATTCTGCTTAGGAACTGTTTCATCACCGTGAAGCAGAAAACATACAAAACGGAGGCATCCAAATAATAGATTCATAGAATGGTTTGAGTTGTAAAGAGCCCTCAAGGTCATCTGGTTCCAATCCCCCTACCATGGGCTGGCAAACTTTGCACTAGACCAGGTGGCATAAAGGCCTGTTCAACTGGCCTTAAACACTTCCAGGGGTGAGTCATATACAGCTCCTCTGGGCAACCTGCGCCAGTGCATCACCACTGTCACAGTAATGAATTTCCTCCTGATAGCTAATCTAAATGTACCTTCCTTCAGCTTAAGGCTGTTCTCCCTTGATCTATCAGTACATGACCTTCTAAAGCATCCCTCTCCAGCTCTCTTTGCCCACTCTGCATACTGGAAGGCTCCTGTAAAGTCTCCCTTGGCCTTCTCTAGGCAGACTATGGGAAATAAGGAGAGCCTTAGAGAGTAAGAACTTTTTTCACCTTTGTTAAATCCCATTCACTTCTGCTCACTTTTGTTAACCAAAGCACTCTGGGAAGGGCTCAGCTATGGTTGGGATCACCGAAGAATGGGTTGATAGTTGCCTCGTGCATGAGGCAGTGCTTGGCTGGGGAGATATGTGGACACCACACATTCAGAGAGCTGACTGGGTAAAGGGACACATGAACAGTGACACTGCAGTGTCAGGCAGACAATGCATGCTTGTTTCAGTTGAGTTTAGAGTATAGAAAGCTCAGTTTGTTATAATAAACAATCTTCTTCAGAGCAAGCAAGGAGGTCCATGTGTCTTTGTTCCCCATTGCTATGGCAGAACAGCTGCAACTCTGTCAGTCTTCTCCCACTGGAGATGTAATCCATCCTTCTGATCTTCATGGCCTCTGGACTCGCTCCAACAGGGACACATCCTTCTTATGTTGATGACCCCAGAGCCGGATGCAGGGTTCCAGGTGGGGTCTCACCAAAGCGGAGCAGAGGGACAGAATCCCCTCCCTGGCCCTGCTGCCCACACATTTGCCTTGCAGACTGCAAGTGCACATTTGCTGCCTAGACCACACTGCTTGGTGTTGGTGGCAAACTTGCTAAGGGTGCCTTGATCCCACTGTCCATGTCATGTCCCACTGTCATCTTGACAAAGATGTTAAACAGCAGTGGTCCAAGTATGAACTTGTATTATTTGGACAAGCAAACACACAAAAAGTCTGCATTGTTTTCTAACTGTGTTTCAAAAGGCCACTACACTAAGAGATTATAGAAAACAGCTCAATTTTAGAAGCTGAAGTAGGAAGTGAACTAAAAAAGAAATTATACCTATCCTTTCTTTTTCTTACTTGCAGTGGCACCAGAGAGTTATGACTAGGATCTATGGAGACTGTGGAAATGAAAAAATATTATTATCCTGCACAGTTCCCAAGAAAGGACACTGCATTACTACAGACTTCTAAAGTATTCCCTTTTTTTTCAGTGTGTGTTCAGGTCCCCTTACACAGGAAACAGCCTCTGAGTATGAACCACCAGTTATCACTAATGTCAGTGCCTTCCCCACAGCAGCACAACACCTACTTTACATTTCTACAAGGAATTGCCAGTGACACAGCTGCAAGAGGGTGTCAGGGGCATCACTGTCTCCCCAAGGTGATGAGGAGGACAGTTCTGAGGCTACACAAGCTTGACTCCTGCTATCTCTGAGAGCTACTTCTTCCCATATTAGCCTCAGTGCACACAGAAGACACCCCAGCAAAGCTGCCAAATGGTATGACTGGGAAATAACACACCATTTGTGAGGAAGCAGTGTGTACTCAGACAGCTTTGGTCGGTGCCCAGGTATGATGTATAAGAGCAGGGCTCGTCCTTGCAGGGTGCTAACTGCCCCACTCATCTAGGCACTTGCTGCCAGTGGCATAAATGTCAGCCAGCCTCATTATCTGTGTCTTCATATAAAACGTGTGGCACAAGAAAACGACGAGCTGTGTGTCTCTCACTCCCCTCCCTTTTAACCAATTTCTGCCTTTGCCTGGCTAAGCAAACCAATCCAGGACAACAGATTTTCTGGTGTAATAGGCTGCTGCTATACTTGTCTTTCAAAAAAGTAATAACTACCACTACTGCTGCTGCCACCAGTAATGAAAAGATGAGCCTGCATGGCTACTTTGTCATTATAGCATGCACACTTCTAGATTTCCCCTATGTTCTTCAACAGCAGAATAATGGGGAAAAATAGATATCTTTATCGACACACAGAAGTTGTCCCTTTCCAGAATTCTGCTTCACAGATAAAGAAGAGACTTCTGTGTTTGCAGCAATATTAAAAGATGCTCTTGCAGGCATCTTTGCATTCCCATGATAGAGTCAAAAATACCTCAGCTTGCAGTTCATTCTCTAACAAGCAGCTGGCCCCAATGAACTTTGAACATACAGGAGTGTGCTGTATGCATAAAGGACATTCCTTAGCAAAGCAAGGTTGGGTTTTGGTTTTTTTTCTCATGAAACAGTAAGCCTCTGGTTGATTAAAAAATAAAGAATTTTGGCTATTTACTTGTGGTGTTACACTGTATGCTATTCTTCCAAACAGATCTGAAAAAAAAGTGGCATCATCTTATTACTCTTCACTAGGTGACCTGTTTATCACTATCAATTTTGTTTCTGGTGCCTTCTGAGGGGAACTACTGCAGTTAGAGCTAGCATTCAATCAAAATATAGATCTGAGCCTCTTCAGTTTCTAAAATGGATAAAATCTAGATGCAAATTATGGGCCCAGGCTCACTATTTGCAAAAAAAAATACCAGTGCTTCTGCTATCAGTATTTGACAAAAATTAAAGCCAGCCTGTATTTCATCAAAATGTTCAAATTCAGTAGGGTTGTGAGTCCTCATATAAACTTGGTATTAACTTCCACACTATCAGGAAAAATAAGTTCAGTTTCAAATACTCTCACAGTTCAGGTCAAGCACATCTGGCCATGGTATGCATGAGAAATTTCACCATTTTTTGTGCTAAAAGATACCCAGGTGAGAAGCAGAGACAGAATGCACACAGAGTGATGGGTAATTTCATCCTCATTATTCACTAACTCAGGGACTGTATCTTGAAATTAGAAATCATGAGGAAATTGCTTTTGGTGACCTCTACAAACATCAGGTCAGTGTCAGTCTGTACAGGATGCATACGTATGCCCTTGTCTCTTCTATGCCCCCCCTAACATTATAACCCTGAATATTGGAAAACAGTGCAGGATGCCACAGGATTTGCTTGTTCAAAGCTGATGCTCTACTTTTTCTTGCAAATTTGCCTTGTGCAGGACTTCTTTTTGCCATTGCCCTGCACAGGGCAGTATCACAGGACAATTCTGGTAAGGAGACTTGCTGGCATTTCTGCAAATAAACTGGATGCATTTCTCTCATGCATTTCTATCATTTCCCTAGATTTTGCCTAATTTGGGAAAGAGGTTTTCATGCTGTAATCATAAAGCCTGAGCCCTTGCCTTCTAAAGTATGACACATATCCTTCATATTACTCTGAGATCACCACACCGAAATTATATGCAAACTAAATATGCATCTCTGGAAGATGATGGAGAAAATACTCTTTAAGATGCAAATTCTTTGCCAACAGGAGCACTCAGAAATGTCTGTAGCTTACAGAAATCAAAAGAATCTTGGTCAGCCTGCAGGTGTTTTGGACTGAACCATACAGAGAAGCCACTGTTTCTCAGCCAAACCTATTTGGCATTCCCTCCCCCTATCATGGCAGATAACTCTTTTAGTTTTTCTTTCACCAAAATTAAGATATCAAGTTGTTTTGCTCATGCTGGTACATCAAAATACTCGTGCTTACACTTAGCTCCAGGTAAATTGGGCCAGTAGGATTAGTCCAAGGAACACCCTTAATGTGGACAACTCAAACACAAACTCATTCCTCCTGACCTTCATGAATTTCTTACTGTGAGGGTGACTGACATGTGTTGTCCAGGAAGGCTGCAGGGTCTCCGTTCCTGAAGATATTTAAAAGCTTACTGGACATGTTCTGGGCAATCAGCTCTAGGTGGTCTTGCTTGAAATGGGAGATTGGATCCAATGACCTTCAGATGTCCCTTCCAACCTCAGCCATTCTGTGATTCTGGCGCCTGGCTGTGCTAGCACATTGATCTTGTTCACTGACAGAATGTCTTTTGTTTGACTAGCGTGACCTTGGGCCTGTCTGCACATCTCAGTGGAGAAAGTACTTTTTTTTGCCATTGTAAACCATTTCCAGCTGCAAACAGAGTGTCCCCATAAATAGATTTCTTTAAAGCATCTGCTTGACACAGCACAACTAATCAACTCTTATGAAAGAAGGTGCAGAAAAATCAAGATTAAGCAAAGATAAGGATGTAATTACTCTTTTTCAGGGTGTCTTCTTATCCTGCTTCCCATCTGCTGTCAAGAAAAGAACGAGTGAGGGATGACTGCAGGGAATAAGTGTTCTTGCCAGTGAATGCTAAAGCAGTAATGCTAGGCTGTGCAACAGCAGGAGCTTCCTATACATGCAGTAGTTCCCTATCACTCATCTTACTGTAAGACATGACACTTTGCTTTTTTTCCCCTTTCTAAAGGACTCGGCTGTGGTGGACACAAATACTAAATAAAAATTGAAAAGTGGGTGAGACCTACCCTCCTTGCAGGAAGCTCATTATGTGTAACCAAGGGCAGGAGAGACCGTCTATCTGCTTCCCACTCTCCAGCAGACCAAATATAACCCTGCCTTTGGAGACAGTGGTTGGAGCTGTCATGAAGAACCCTCTCCAGTCCTCAGAGGCGCAATTCTACCAATCCCAGTTCCTTGTGTCCAGCTAGGACCATGGATCTGACCCTGTCTATCTACCTGTCTTCCTCAAAGTTCACAAAGCACAAGGAGGGACTACTAGGAATGAGAGATGCTTTAGAAAGAGTCAGATCAAAGTCCTGTCCTGGCACAGTTACCTGGGACTCACCGTCCAGTTGTTACTTTATGTACAATTTGTGTCCCTGGTAACAATTAGAGGCACTTCTTGGTCCTCTATGAAGACACAATGGGGAAAGACAAGCTCTTCCTAGGCATCCCCACTGAGCTCTTCATTCAGTCATCAGCTGTCATCAACTTGTCATCACACTTTTTCCTTAGCTGAAGGTGCAGAGGCAAGCTTATTTTAAATACTCCGTGCATGTATCACTCCATTCCACTGCTCTCTCTAGCAGAAACTGCCAAATAGCAACAATGGGTTTTGTTTCCTTCGCTTGGAACTTCACTCAGACAGCCTTCCTGCTCAGTACAAAGTCCAGTCCATCAGTGTCATCTCCACTCAGTAATCTGGAGCTTTGAGAAGCAGCAGGCTACATTTAAAAATGAGAAACAGGTTAGAGTAGCAATCAGTCAGAACTGAGCTTTGGAGCTTCCAGGAAAATACCTGGACAGTGACACTTCATCAATTGTAGAGAAAAGCTATTAATCCAACTTTGACCTTATGGCAGGAACAGTGGGTAGGTGTCTAGCATTTATGTTACTATCCAAAGAGGTCTGGGAGGGAAAATATATTTCAAATCGGAGTCACCTACCTTTCATGTGATTATTTGGAGTAAAGCAAGGCTCCTTTCCACTTAGGATCCTACTGAACTTGGGAAACAACAGCCTGTCATCACGGGGCTGCTTGTGTGATAACTTCTCCACTTTGCACTTCAGAAACAGCAGGCAGCAATTACCTCCACTCTTTGTTTATTGTCAGTTTAATTTCTCTTGTCTACTGAAGACTTCTGTGGCAGAAAAATGCTGAGCCTACAGGAGCTGCAGAAAAAAACCAGCCCTAGCAGGTGAGGAACATGTGAATTTATCTGGTGTGTTTCCTAGTTTGGTCACAAGCTCCCAAACTCTGTGTAGGAAACATCCTGCCAGGCTGAAAGACTGAGAAGGTGCAGATAAAAGAGATCCCTTTTGGTCTTGAGTCTTTCACTCAGATTAAATGGAATTACTTCAAAAACTCCTCACTTCCCTTTTAGGGTGGCCTTCCCTGAATACTGGATTGATTGATTGATTGATTGATTGATTGGTTTACTGCTGCTAATACTCACAGGCAGTGAATTTCAAAGTCTTGCATATATTTCCTTGAAACAGAGTCCAAATAAATTTCCATAGATATATTTGACTTCGCAGATTGATGAAAACTGATTTTCAGGGGCTGGGATGTAATGCCTTCACTACAGTGTAAATGTGACACATCTGACCCAGACTTTCACACTGGAAATGCTAATATATATTGCCATTGTTGGGACAAAAGCTATGCTTGTGAAGCAGGCTAATGAGAAAAAACAATTGTCAGCCATGGGAAATAGCAGAAACTAGGTGATGGCAAAGCAGTCAAAGCAGTGTCTTGCACAAAACATCTTCAGCTACAGTGTCAAAGTGTTACCTAGTAAACATGCAGTATTTGAAACTCAGATGGGCTCACTTTCTTTCAATTAGCAGCTAGAGTCATTACTGCAAGTGTGAGAAATATAAACAAAAGAAAACAAGAGGATGAACTCACTTAAATACGTGCTCCCTGTGAATTATTTATTTGGTTCAAAAAATAGCCACAGTTTTTGCTGCACAAGGGGAAATTTCAAAGTCATTCCACAAAAGCTGCTTTCTAATTCCTCGATGAAGATGGAGCATGCGGTGAGAGGGTAAAAAGCAGAGCCAGTAGACTGCTTAAGATACTTCAGGTGAAATGCTGAGTTGAGCAAATTTTTCCATTAGCATCAGAGACATCGTTCCCCTTCCAGTTCAGCAGCGATCAAAGCTGTCTAATAAACAACTGGTGTTCAGGTATTGTAGGCAAACATGTCAATTTTTGTACGTGTCTTTCCAAAGCCAAGGCTGATATCTTCACACAGCTGCCTGTGCATATGTACCCTCTGTGTGATGCTAATGTGAGCTGCAAAAGGTACTTGTGTATTGGAGCCTGATCCTGCAGAGCACTGTGGTCTGACTCAACTGAGCATTTAAATGTCTGCTACATCTGTGCATCCAAGTTGCCAACATGGGGCAGGTATTTAGGTGTTTAATTGGACCACAGTGAGGAGAGAACTGCCTTGTAAAATAAGCTCTGACAGGCCAAATACTGTAACTGGCAGAGCAACATATTTGTGGTAACTTTGAAACAACTGGAGCAAAACTTTGAAGTATCTTAGGTCAAGCAAACACAATGGAGTTTGGCTTGATTTTTATTAAGCAGAAACCAGGAATCATTCCAACAGACACTTGAGAGGATGTGCCAGAAACACATAGTAATGATAATATATGTGGTAAGGTTAAAGAATAAAATTAAATTTAAGCATGCTATTCAGCCTTCTCTTTTCAAAGATTAATCTCACATCCTAGTCTTCCAGATTATAGTTGATATAATCAGATTAGTATAAAAAGAATTGAGGTAGATGTTGTTGCTGTAAATGTTGTCATTATGATTCCAAACAATAAAGTGCTTTTTATAACCACAGACCATAGAGGGATGAAGAACTGTGCTGCAGAATCAGTTTAAGAACCCCAGTTTTTCTGCTTGCTTTGAATACAAAATATCAAAAAGCCACTTGAAAGTTAACATATGAAGGCTCACTGCTTAGGAGCAAAGGGATAGACAGACCCCACAGCTGGGCTCTATATCCAATGCATTTTTCACATGAGAAAAGCTTCAGTCAATTCACCACACCATCTTACGTCATTATGCTTAATATTTTCTTTAAATCCTTTAGTCCTACAGTAACTGACTAGAATATTGCCTTGGTTTTGCACATCCTGGTTTTTGGTAGTGGGGGAGCCAGGGAGGTGGTTTCTTTGAGCAGCTGCCAGAAGCTTCCAGCCATGTCTGGCACAGCCAGTCCCTGATGGCTCTGAAGATGGACATGCCTCTAGCCAAAGCTGGACCAATTAGAGATGTTAGTAATGCCTCTGTGATAACAGATTTAAGAAGAAACCAAAACAAAGGGACTCGCAGAATTTTCCCTCACCAAAGAACAGAAGGAGGTGAGAACATGTGAGACACCATGGTCAGTGGAGAAGGAGGGGCAGGAGGAGCTCCAGGCACCAGAGCTGAGGTTCCCCTGCAGCCCCTGGTGCGGCCCATGGTGAAGCAGCTGTGCCCTGCAGCCCCTGGGGATCCATGGGGGATGCAGAGATCCACCCACAGCCCATGGGGAGGTGCCCATGCCGGAGCAGGTGGATGCCTGGAGGAGGCTGTGATCTAGTGGGAAACCCACCAGAGAGAGGGCCCTGCTTTCAGCATGGAGCAGCCTGTCCTTGGGGGACTGCACCCTGTGGAAAAGTGACCTTCACCACAGCAGTTTTGGGAGGATTGTGTGCCTATGGGAGGGACTCACATTGCAACAGGTGCTGTAGACCTGCTGCTTGTGAGATTTGGAGCCATGCTGAAGAAGCTCATGGAGAATTGTCTCCCATGGGAAGGAACTCCATGGTCTCATAGGGGGAAGGACTTCTCTCCCTGTGCAGCAGAAGAAAACCTTGGGTGATGAGCTGACCAAACCTCCACACCCTGTCTTCCTTGCACTGTGGGTGTGAAGGAGGGAGCAGTTGATTTTGTTAGTAAAAAACTCACTTTTTATCTCTAAGTTGAGCCTGTTTTGCCCTTGGAGTGTTTTCTCCCGGTCGTTATCTGAACTCACGAACCCTTCGTTAATTTTTTCTGTCCCCTGTCCAGCTGTGGCAGGGGAGGGTGAGCGGGTGACTCTCGTGGGCATCTTGGCCAGTGTCAAACCACAACAAATATATATCTGAAAACAGGATTGTGTTCTGCAGGTGTTTATTCCTTGCACTGCCTGCAGCCTTCATCTGCAGAAATAATGCCCTAGAATTAGCAAGAATTTCACCTTTCCATTCTGATTCTCTTTTTTCATCTCTTAAACAAGAAATCAGTTTTGACATCTCTCTTACTGCAATTGCCACAAATTTTACTTTGCTTTAATGCAGCAGGTCTTATGTTTATGGGATCAAACTAGAAACTCAGCTTTTCTTGTAATGAAAATGTCTTTAAAACAGTCTAAGAAAGGTCAAAAGTAGAAGATAGTTTAAAAAATATATATATTTTTGTATTGAGTCAGAAAATTGTTTTTCTGAGAACCAGCTCAAAATCTTTGAAGATCTAAAGTAGAAAAAGGGAATTTTCCCAAGGAAGTTTATGAATACTGCCTTAACATGAAACCAAACATGAGGTGGTATTAGGCTTACTGACCATCATACCTGCGTCAGGGACAACATGAAACATGTCAGCAAGCAAGGTGGCAAAATCCCTGATCTGTTCATGTAGCTAATCCTGAAAAGAGAGCTAAACTGGGCCCTTCTGACATCTCCCTGCTTCTCATGTGTGCTCAGGGCTTGGACAGATGCTCAGATTTGGATGCAATAATTTAAAATTTTGCCATCAGTATGCATTTATCTTCTTTTCTGCAAGGATTAGTAAAAATTGTGTCTTTGTCCCAGAATGCTACTGTTAAGACTAGTGAAGCTAGTTTGTTTAGGTTCCTGTAAAATTCCTCCCCTGTGCTGCATCTTAACTATACAACATAATTGTCCCAAGGTTTGTGAAGTATTTTACAGTAATCGAACTCTGATGTGATAGAAAATGACTCCATACTCCGCAGATCTGTGTTATTCACAGCTTGCTGTTTGCAGTGTTGAAAGAGCAGTTTATTACTCCCAATTCACAATAAATCTTCTTTGGTCCTATAACAATCAACAGTATCATGCTATCAGAAGAAATTTTGACTCAAACTGTAACCACTTGTCTTCTCTATGTAGATATTTCTCATGTTTAGGACAGTCTTAAAACATGTGACAGGTTAAAAAAAGTTTTGCTTCCTCCTTATTGTATCCTTCAAAGGCTTTTCTGGAAAACACGGGGAGATTTGCTTGATAGAGAGCGTCTTTCATTAACTGATGCATCTCTGAGCTGTACCTTC